TGTGTGTGTGTGTGTGTGTGTGGAAGTGAGTGTGTCTACACGTAGGCAGTTGACCTGGCACACAAATTGTCTACGAGTGCCGCAAATGTTTTGACTTCATGTAATTGGAATTTAAATTCAGGAGACACATTTTTCCATCTCTGTAAAATAAACGTACAGGGAGAGGGGAGGAATAATGTTTACAAGTGTTTATATTTCTTTACCCACAAATCCTCTCTATTTTCAAAATGGCAAATTATCAGCTTTTCAAACTGGGTGCTGCTTTATTGGAAAGAAAACTGGACTCAGCCACATTTTGTATCTTTTGAAGACGGCACATTTTAAAGGTTGTCCGTCCCTGCTTTGTCCAGACGGTCGTGGATTGCAATAAACTGGAAATTAGTTTTCAGAGTTTGTTTTTGTTTTCACTGTCGCACACAACACAACTCACATGGTTCTTTAAACATCAAATCGATTTCAGTGTATAAATATAATTTCTCTCAAGTTCCAAAACATGTCCAGGTAAGTGGTGAGTTAAGATGAAAAAATATTAAAGTAAAATGCCCAAATTTACCAGATCCAGATTTTTATTTGGCTCTGAACCAAATTTCACACATTTATAAAAATCTGTTAGATTAACATGTCTGACTTTTTTCAACCATGAATTATTCTCTTACAGATCAATGAATATTGAGAACCAGATCCAGATCTGCACTAAATGTTATGGGTTCTTCCCTGGGTCTTGCCCCATCACTTCCTAATATTTAAATTGAAATCAGTTCTGGAGTCTTTGTGTCATCTTGCTAACAAACGCAGATGAAAACATAACCTCCTTAGTGGAGGTAATTTAAAGTTAAAACCATTTATTGTACAAACATCACATTCGCTCTGTGATGACGTCATATTGCAAATCTGCAAAAAAATGTAATTCTCCATAAAAACAGCAGCAGTCTTTTCACTTTATAAGTAATTTATTGTGATTAAAATACTCATATTTTGCCCATTTGCACTGTCATAACATCACATTTCAATTTAGGAGGTCTACCTAAACAGCTTCACATGGTGTTATGTTCAAAATACACATTATTTATCTCATATCGTTCAGCTGCAGTGCCGATTGGTCAGCCTCATTCTTTCGTAACTAGTTGAACCACTTAGAGCATGTGTCAGACATGACTCCTGCGTTGGATTGACGCAGAGACTACACCACTGTGAGCTTTGCAATGTGCAATTAATACATAATGTTATGTACTATGCAGGACAATAAATAATAGAAACGTCATGTTTACATGACAGGCACTTCAGTCGGAGAACATGATCAGATCTTTTGCTGAACAATAATGAGGTAACACGGAGTATTTGTTCTTCAGGGCACACAGCATTTCAAGAGCCTCTCATTCATCATTATTTAACAATTAATTTACCCACAACATTTTCCCCTGAGGCCTTGTACCAATAGAAAAATCTGCCTGAGGTTTTTTTCAATAGCATTTTAAATGTTCTCCTATCACCCATCCCTAATAGGCTCAACAACCATGCTACATCAACACTGTGCCAAATACAGAATTATTTACAGTGTGAAACTCAGCTTCAAAGCCTTTTTCACAGTCCTGTAAATTTACTGTAGGTTCACTCATACTTTATAAGAATCCTCTTTGATGCCTCGCGTTATTACTTTGAATTGTTCCCTGCATGTTCTCAAATGCAGTTTACCTCCATCATTTAAATAGCAGCAAACTCTTATTACTGCTCCTGTGTCCTCGTGTGCAGCAGTACAGCCTTTCCAGCCAGCCCAGCCTCCACACCTCCTGTAGAAACCACATACCGGGTCCCGTCATTGGCTCTCTGAGGGTCCATCGTCCTCAGCTGCTCGTTGCTCTGAGCTACACTGTCCAGGCTCCACAGCTGGTAGCGCAGGCTTTTACCCTGTTTAGCCAGGACGTAAACCTCTCTGAGCCCCGTGCTGCGGACGGGACAAGGGGAACTGGTGTCGCTCGGCAGGTTAAGCCAGGGAAGACTGGGGTCAGGCTGACCGAGACTTCCACTCACACTCCCCTGATCCAACCCGAGGAGAACGCCTGTAAAAAAAAGAAGAAATTTCACATAATGACATCTAATTAAGTTGATTAAAAATCTGAGGTCACATCTTTTTCCATTAAAAGATCTGCACAATATTTCAGTCAGTGTATGTTCTTTTAAATATATAACTAAATTACAATTCCTATTCTCTTTGTCACCAAATACATTTTACATACAACCAGAAATCCATGTATCAAATATATAGAAAATGACATACTGCCAATTTGAACAGCACTTCACCATATAGTGACTGTGATGTCACACATATGAACCAAGTAACATCATCCATACCAAGGTTATAACATATACCAATTATCTAGTTCTCTTATAAAACTAATTACTTGGATCCAATTGAATACATCGGAGTTGTCTTAGTGTGTTGCAGCTTACATGTTGAAACCTATCAGTTCATTTTCAGCAGCAATTAAACACAACACAACAGTGGAATCTGAACCTACTATGTTAATTACTAATAGAGCACAGGAAATTAGATAAGTGCCAAACCAGCTTCATCATACAAGTTGTGCTTTTCAGGGTAAGCCTTGTTTTCCTTTACAAAATGACTCTCTGGTGAACGAGCGATGTCCAGTCTTACCTGAGGCGACGGCCCAGTGCGCCCTGTGGCCACCGCGCTGGCATGGCTCATGGTTGTAGTCCTCATCATATCTGTAGTCACTGTCAAAGACTGTTCTTTGGTATCATATAAAAAGCAGCACAGCCTGATTAATACTAGCTGTTTGAAGCTGATACACATATCAATATTTGGGAGTTTAAAAAAATCTTATAACCAAACATCAGCCGATTGTAATTTTTAACATTTAACAACAAATAACCTTTTTGTGAATTAAATCATAATGTGACGAAATGTGACCGAGACAGATGTTAAACGTGAAAGTTAAGAGTTAATAATTAAAATAATCAATGTCTCTCTCCAGGTGAAACCCTCACTCAAAAGTGAAAACAGTTTGTTGTTAATTATCAGCTGACAGACACACAGTGTTTTCTACAAAAGCTAAATGCCTGGGTGTTTTCAGCAAAAGATAACATACTGCTGAGAGCAGTTTGTTAGCTTTCAACACAATTTGGTTTCCTTGGGTCCAAGATACGGGACGAGAACAGGCTGTCTCCCCCACAGATGTGTGACGACGGCTGCAGCATTGTCACCACTCAAACCTCCAGAAAGCAGCTCGGCCTTACATCTGCAAACCTCTTCTGCCAGGAGGGCCATGTTGTTAGCTGCCAAGATAAAAACCTTAGTGAGAACATAAAAATTAAAAAAAAACACCTTAAAACTCAACACAGAGAGAGAGTTAAATATGTGATTCACCACTAAAACAACTTTCACATTTTAAATAACATCCTGCATCTGGCCCTTTCAGCTAAATGTCATATTTGCTCTTCTAGTGACACCTAGTGATGCCTTGTTATTTCTTTAGCCTTTGAGAGGATTCAGGGCTATGTCATGCGATGCATGATGACAGGAACACACCCCTCTTTGTTTTACACTCTCATTTTGTTTCCTTTACACATTATATTGGTACCTGAAAACATTTCCCCCTGTGCTGTGTATCCTCTGCTCAGTGCCGTCTGAACCACGGTCTCCATGTTGACACTCAGCCGTGGCTGACGGAGGTGAGCAGCCATCCACAAAGCCACCAGACCGCACCTGAAAGGTAAATGGTTAAGGTCACACCCAGGTAAATATTCAGGTCAAATTATTAACACAATGGTCTGATTGTTCATACAACAGCTGTGGTTATGTACATTCTTTCTCAGTAAACTGTTAATGGGCAGGTATTAGAATGAAACCACAGACTCACTGTGGACCATCTTGGATGAGAGAAGGCACATATGTGTTCACCAGGATCCACTGCAGGTCCTTCCTAAAACTGAAGCAAAGATCATCATGTAACTAAATACACACTTTCCCATCAGAACGACTGTGTAGTCATACATTCCAAAGTCAAAGAGCTTATTTAGTACAATTGTTCAAACTGTGAGAATCTAGTTCAACAGCCCAAATATAAACATAGCAGCATTCATGTTTACTCTACGGTGGCTGTGTTTCAACACATCAACTAGTCTTATGTAAGAAAGTGGGACGGACTAACTATTAGGAAACAGTTTTTCAATTTGTTTTCATCAGTGTCTGTTATTAAGCAGGCTTACGCAAAAAGTAGTTACCACGACACTTGGTGGAAGGATGTGATATGAGTCAGTGAGGCTGATCCAGGAATTTTCTCATTAACATTGCGAGATTTCGTGTTTTCAACACTTTTGGTTATTTCTCACAGATCGGGATATTTTTTTTAAATCAGGCATATTTAGGGGACTGATATTCATGAGTGTCTGCAATTTGGTGCAGATCCAAACAAAACACTGAATCTAGTGATTTTTAATGTGGTTTCATAAGGGGACTGTTGAGTCTTAGTGGAGGTTTGTGCTTTAATGAGTGCCACTCTAATCAGAAATGATGAATTGATTCCTGTAGGGAAATTAGGTTTTGTTACAGTTATTCCAGCCAAGACTAGAATAATTACAATAAATAAATACAAAACATAGCTGAAATCAAAAAATTGTTTGGAAAAAATGTTTGTCTTCATCCAATATATAAAAAGAAGTTAAATAAGAATGAATTACACATACAGTACATGCAATAGTAAAACATATACAATAATAGAGTTTATACAAAAGATGATAACTTATTATAAATTAAGGAGTAATGTGCTGGCAGGGTGAATTAAGCCCAGGGCTGGTTAATGGACTCAGGGAGGAAGTGTTATTTATTAATCTTTGCTCTGAGAAACTTGTTTATGTGATGTTAAACCAGATTCCAGACAATGACACCAAAGTCATCAGGTGTTCAGGTTAAATGTTTCCTCAGTGACGCTCACCTGCTGTCCCTCTGGCTGAGCAGGGAGCAGGCCTCAGCGTGGTCTCCCTCCACAGGACTCCTGCTGCTGGCTATGGTCTGATACAGCTTCTTCTTCCTATCTGCTGAGGCTGGAGGAGGAGGAGGAGGAGGAGCAGGTGGAGGAGGTGACAGGGAACACTCCATTGACATGTCCGTACTGGTCCTCCCGGATAAAGCCTCGTATGAAGGAGGGGATAACGCTTCAAAAGCAGGAAGTGCCAGCAGCTGTTAAAACCCCTCCATACAAACTCAAGCTAACTCTGACAGGTCAGCTAACAGCTCTGATGCTAACAACAAACTGTGGAAGTTCTTCGTTAACAAACAAATCCTCTCTTGAAACTGATCTCGATCAGAGACCCACTGTTTATATTTACCTTCTTCTGGTCATCAAGCCCCCGCAGTTATGCAGCGAACACCACCGGAGTTCAGTCTGTGTCTGATCAGCTTCTACCTCCTGGATCTGTCCATGACAGTCCCGCTTCTTCGTCTTCACTACCGGAGCAACACACGCTCATACCGCCCCCTAGTGTATCTTCTGGTTTTAAACCCTCAACAAGTGTCTTGTTTGGATTTACCCCATTGTGCCATTTATGTTTATAAAGAATGTTCTATATATGTTCAATGTTTCAATAATGATGCAATAAAACACCGACGCACTCTACATAGTATATCTTCTGATTTTAGACCATGAATAAATATTAGCTGATTATTTCATTTTATTTATATATTTTATATTTGGAGCTTGTTTGTTGTCTGTAAACAACAATGTCCTATATTTTACCAAACTATTACATTTTATTGTAAAGAATGTTCTATACATGTTCAATGTTTCAATAACCAATCTGATAATAATCCAATAAAATACCAACTCCTGGTGTATCTTCTGAGTTAATCTAACATTTTCCTATTATTATTTTGCATATATTAGTATAAAGCATACTGGCTCATGCAAAACATTGGATAAAAACTTTAAAGAACAGAACCATCATACTTATATGATGATTGTGTATTTTGTCTTCCTCCCATCTTCCACCACATTAATTCTGTAAAGACACAAACCATCCACCACAAGAGTATATATTTTGCACACGCAATAAAGTTTCTAATCACCATTACACTGCCCCCTCACCCACTTTCCCCCTGCGGTCATGATAATTCATCACTAAAACTCAGTGTAATTTATTCAGTCTTTGTTTATTTTTTTAAAAAGGATAATTACAACTGACTCCCCCCGGCTAAGGTGACCTCTGCCTGGTACCGCTTGTGTTCTTGTACTACAATTTCTATCAACATATTCGAGGTGAGATGAACCTCTGATGTCTTTTAGCATTGCATGCTTTCTTTGTATGTGAACTGACAGATTTTTTTTGTAAAGAACAATGGAGCAGTGAGGGCACTTCACTGATTTCAAATTTGCCACACGAAAACATGTCAGCTCTGTTGTTTCAGAGCGTGCAGCACCAAATTGTCCTCTGGGTGATAAATCCAATTCAAAGGCCTTTGGGGGTGAAGCTGAGGGTGGTTGAGAAGACTGTGGTGTAACAGAAGCTTTGGGAGAAAGTGTGTAACAGTGGTCTTCATTTGTGATTGATGAAATAAAATCCTCTGGAGCAGATTGGGGAGAGTGAAGCTCTGAGGCAGAGTTTGAAGACGTGTATCCTGGAGTGTGAGCTGACTTCTCTTGGGAATCACAGGGAGTGAAGCCCAGTGATGATGAAGCTGCTGATGGGCCGATATCAGCTGACTGAGATGAGATTGTTTCACATGGAGCAGGCACTTTATCACAGGGTCTCTGACATCCAGTCACATGTGCCGCAATATCTTTTTTGCGCACAATTGTTTTTGTGCAGTTTGGACAGTGGTAATGACCCGAGTCTCTGCACGACAAGTTGCATCGGCAAATGATAGTGTCTGCAAAGAAAGAGTAATGTAAGATAGATGTATGACCTTACACAATAAAAAACACAAACATATACTTTTTAGACAGAACATACAATATACACATAAGATTTATAAACTCCAACAATGGTTACCAGTTTACCAAGTATAACTTAATTACAAAAAAGCCATGCTCGCTAAAAATAATAAAAAATAGATAATCCACTGACCCCAAAATTTAGACTGTTGCCCTTAAATCTAGGGAAAATGCAAACGGACAGAGTGGTGCTACTCAACATAACAGAATGTTACAGCAGACGCTTCCTATCAGCTTACCTTGGAGATGCACTGCATTCTGTACGTGGGCCCCCAGGTGTCTGCGTAATGTCTCTCCCTGTGTGGTGATGAATTTGGGGCACAGAGGACAACCAAACTGTGCCCAGCTGTGGAGGGAGGTGCTCTGCAACTGTCCTCCACCCTTGATTATAGACGGGTGCATCTGGAAAACAGATCAAGTCATTTTAGATGGTTTTAAACTGAATTCAAACAGTAACACACATATTCTACATCATCAGCTGGTTTCCCTGACAGTCACTGAGTCAGGTCCTACAATGGATAGTGGTGGAGATAAACGAGAGGGTGCTGCTGGGTGAAGGCCATGTTGTCATCTGCTGCTGCCACAGCGAGCTCGTGTCACGTCATTCAAACGTTTGGTTCTCATCATTAAACAGGTTTAGCTGTATATTTTTAAGAAGTGATTACAGATACACGGCCTGTAACTGTGGCACTGACATGCTAACATCAGCAGACTGGTTGGACTCGCTCGGTATTTTTACTGTGTCCGTATCAAACCCTAAGTTAGACATTCAACATGTACTAAGACTTTAGAAAAGACAAGACAAGTTCCTAAGACTTGATTCAATATGACTTAATAATATCTTCTTCAGACTCTGTATCTCACCGCTGGTCTCTGTGTGTTTTTCCAGCTTTCCTCCTCAGTCCCCATGTCCGCGAATCCAACCTGCAGACAAGATGGCGGACCTCCGTCCTCCACACGCACTTGCGCAGTAGATGTCAGTGAGCGGCGCGCACTGAGCGCACGCGCAAATAGACCGCGCTTGAGAGGAAATGACGATCCAGACGGAAGTTGGTTTTCTGTAGTTTTATTTTTTAATAATATTTGATATATATTTAATAAGAATACGAACCTTTAGACAAATACCACGTATCAACGTTTATCAGTGTTGATACAGTGAACAAGTCCAGCAACGAGAAAAGTGCATTGAAGAGATTCCACAAATATCTTCATTCTTCTATCCGTTCCTACGGGGCTTGACTTTTAAATATTTACACCTGTGAATAAAGTGCTTACCCTTAAAATGACAATATTAATCATGTTGGAAATGGATGAACTTTAATTGTCCATAAGTAAAAATATATGAAAGACATCAAGATTGTGCATGTCTACAACCATAAGTGATATCAGTTTTTTTTTTCTCATATCCATCCAATGAGTTACAGGGCATGAGAAAAACATGTGCTCAAGAGTTTCTTCTGACACGATGCAAAAGGAAGGAACAAAGGTCGACTTCTTTCAAGGATCTCTGCAGCAGGGGGTTCATCCTGCTGCAGAGATCCTATGAACTATTTTGGAGTGGGTCACTTTGACCTTTGGGGAAATACGCTATTTAATACATTTAGAATGTGCTTATTCCACAATAGCCACAGTTTCCCTCTCAGGAACCTGGATATACAATCCTCTATTATAGTCATGTTAAATGGCTGCATCCAGGTCTGTCTCAATTCGAGGGCCAAACATCACAAATTCATTCCCAGGATTTAAAATGACAAAAAAGCTGAACTTGGAAACAGTAACTTCACTTCTTCTAACACTTTTCCTCCTAGCACCTGACGAGTAGAGCCCTCACTCCAAAGAATAAAGCGTAACAGTCATAAATACTATAAATCACTTATTATATTCATCATATTTAGGCTATCTGTTTATTTATTAGTTTAGTTTAATGTATATCTACTAACTCCATTCCCTTAAACACTTTAATGAGCTGGTGCCCATTAAAACTGGACTGTAACTTCTGATGGTTACATGACTTGTTCCTTTTTTATTCAAACTAATTTTAAAAACATACACAGAGGAACTTTTAAACTTTAAAAAAATGATTAAGACTATTCACTAACGTTTTAGAAATATTAAAACATAGGGGATTACATGAAAATACACGGAGAAATAAGTATACAGTCATCTCTTAATCGTTTGACAATAATAACAAAAGACAATAAATGACCTACTTCTTTGTCCCGCCAGATTCGAAGACAGGAAACGGAAGCTGGCGTCTTAAACTCTTCTGATTGGTCCTCACACATGACGGACCCGCGGTTTCTCGCTGCTGATTGGCCAAGCAGTGTGCAACCCTCTACCGTCACCGCTGACGTCTTCCGTACTAAAGCGACGTTAGCGGGACTTTCAGAGACAGTTCGCGGGTTCTTCACAGAGTCTAGTCGGACCTCACCTCCAGCCGAGCACCGTGACACCGACCACAGGCTGAACGCGTAGCCGAAGAAGCTGCAGTTTCACCCGGGGAGACGAGTAGAGACCACGCCGTGACATCATGCACGTCATCAAGCGAGGTGAGTGGCTGAGGGTGGAAGTCCTGGAGCCGGAGTGAAACAGGCCTCAATTAGCTTCTCTGCTAACTGTGTGTAATGCGATGGTCAGAGATCAGATCAGGTTCTTACATCAGACTGCACAAACTCACAGTTCGTGCACGTGGCAGCTGACCCGCGTACACGTCGACATTAACACAGAGAGATGTAATATCTCAGTCCATGTGCTCGAGATCCATTCAATGATTGTTTATGGACTCAGCCATGTTGAGCCTTTGTCACAGTTGGCGCCAAAAACTCAAGATATAACATAAGTTACGAGCTTCAGTGTCTCTGTGGATCTCAATGGCTGAATACATGATGAAAACACTCACTCCTCTAACGAGCAGACGCGTTATTTACCTCAAAAGTATAAAATAACAAGATGCAGTCTTGTAGATGAGATGGGTCTTTATTTCTGATCGCCTCCTTATTTATTTGATCATTGCAATTGATCGTATTTTATTTATTATGCTTCAGGTTGATCCCGATTGTCCCGTTGAACTCGCTGCATCACAATGTTATTGCCAATTCAACTCCCTGTAACAGTTTCACACCTCAAGGTGTGAAAGTGGTTGTAAATCATTGATTTCATAGAAGGGCTTTTTACTGTGAAACGTGCATTCACACCAAATGTTTTATTAACTAAAAAATCACTCTTGCGTGTGATAAATGTGGTCCATCCTGCCTGACAGAATCCAGACTTGATCATGACTCATTGTTAGTTAGTTTTTTTTTTTTTTAGTTTTCTTGTTACTGGAGATGACACAATACTCTGTTTCTCTTCCGGTACAATTCTTATACCTGGATTTTGCATATCTGATACCAGTGCATTCAAAAAACAAGGAGAACAATTGAATGTATTTTAACAGCTGTTTGCTACTAATCCTCTGTAGAAGTGATGATTATCATAACAGGTCTAACTTGACAGTCATAACTGCAAGAGAGCACAAATAAATAACACTAAGAACAAAGAACATGTTTATCAGTACATATTGATAAATTGCTGCCATTATTGTTCTGGCTAATGATACACAACCAGAAGTTTTTCACTACTCTACAAACTGTTCTTGCCAGTTTTGGAGCTGCCAAGAAAAGTATTTCTGATTTGCTTACTATTGTTTTTTTTTTTTTTTTTGTTTTCAGATGGACGCCAAGAGCGCGTCATGTTCGATAAAATCACCTCTCGTATCCAGAAGCTTTGCTATGGGCTGAACTCTGACTTCGTGGATCCAACTCAGATCACAATGAAGGTGATCCAGGGTCTGTACAGTGGTGTCACCACAGTGGAGCTCGACACTCTGGCTGCAGAGATCGCTGCCACCCTCACGACCAAACACCCAGACTATGCCATCCTCGCTGCACGGATCGCCGTCTCCAACCTGCACAAGGAGACAAAGAAAGTGTTCAGTGAGGTGATGGAGGACCTGTTCAACTACGTCAACCCTCTGAATAGACGCCACTCCCCTATGATCTCCAAGGAGACCCTCGACATCGTTCTTGAAAACAAAGACCGCCTCAACTCGGCCATCATTTTCGACAGAGATTTCTCCTACAACTTCTTTGGCTTCAAGACTCTGGAGCGTTCCTACTTGCTGAAGATCAACGGCAAAGTGGCCGAGCGGCCGCAGCACATGCTCATGAGAGTGGCTGTTGGTATCCACAAAACAGCTATCGACGCCGCCATCGAGACCTACAACCTGCTCTCAGAGAAGTGGTTCACCCACGCGTCTCCTACGCTCTTCAACGCAGGAACCAACAGGCCTCAGCTGTCCAGCTGCTTCCTGCTCACCATGAAGGATGACAGCATCGACGGCATTTATGACACGCTGAAGCAGTGTGCCCTCATCTCCAAGTCAGCTGGAGGAATCGGCGTGGCGGTCAGCTGCATCAGATCAACGGGGAGCTACATTGCTGGCACCAACGGCAACTCAAACGGGCTGGTCCCCATGCTGAGAGTCTACAACAACACGGCGCGCTATGTCGACCAGGGCGGCAACAAGAGACCCGGGGCCTTCGCCATGTACCTGGAGCCATGGCACTTTGACGTGTTTGACTTCCTGGAGCTGAAGAAGAACACAGGGAAGGAGGAGCAAAGAGCCAGAGATCTTTTCTACGGCTTGTGGATCCCCGACTTGTTCATGAAGAGAGTCGAGAGCAACCAGGACTGGTCTCTGATGTGTCCCAGCGAGTGCCCCGGGCTGGACGAGTGCTGGGGGGAGGAGTTTGAGAAGCTCTACACCCAGTATGAGAAGGAGGGGCGGGTCAAGCGTGTTGTGAAGGCTCAGCAGCTGTGGCACGCCGTCATCGAGTCCCAGACGGAGACGGGTACACCGTACATGCTGTACAAAGACGCCTGCAACAGGAAGAGCAACCAACAGAATCTTGGCACCATCAAATGCAGCAACCTCTGCACCGAAATCGTTGAATACACCAGTGACGATGAGGTCGCCGTCTGTAATCTGGCCTCCATCGCTCTCAACATGTACGTCACCCCCGAGCGGACTTTTGACTTCAAAAAACTGGAGTCTGTGACCAAAGTTATCGTCAAGAACCTGAACAAGATCATAGAGATTAACTACTACCCAGTGCCCGAGGCTGATAAGTCCAACAAGCGCCACAGGCCAATTGGAATCGGCGTCCAGGGTTTGGCCGACGCCTTCATCCTGATGCGTTACCCCTTTGAAAGCCCAGAGGCTCAGCTGCTGAACATCCAGATCTTTGAGACCATCTACTACGCCGCCCTGGAGGCGAGCTGCGAGCTGGCAGCCGAGTTGGGCCCCTACGAGACATACGAAGGCTGTCCTGTCAGCAAGGGCATCCTCCAGTACGACATGTGGGAGAAGACGCCCACCGACCTGTGGGACTGGAAGCTGCTGAAGGAAAAGATCGCCAAGCACGGCGTGAGGAACAGCCTGCTGCTGGCCCCGATGCCCACGGCCTCCACCGCCCAGATCCTGGGCAACAACGAGTCCATCGAGGCCTACACCAGCAACATCTACACCCGCAGGGTCCTGTCCGGAGAGTTTCAGATCGTCAACCCTCATCTGCTCAAAGACCTGACGGAGAGAGGACTGTGGAGCGAGGAGATGAAAAACCAGCTGATCGCTCACAACGGATCCATTCAGGTAATAGATCAAAGTCTCCTCATTCAGAAGAATTAAACTTCATTATTTTGTCATTGTGACATTAGTCAGATTCATACTAAAGTAAACAGAATAAAAAATGGTAGATTTAAAGAAGTTCTTTAAAACAAAACAGTTTCAGCTCCAGTGCTGTAGTTGAACTAAAATGTGAAATTGTTTTATTTTTTTTCAACAGGAAATTAATGAGATTCCAGATGATCTGAAGCAGCTTTATAAAACCGTGTGGGAAATCTCCCAGAAGACCATACTGAAGATGGCTGCTGACCGAGGCGCCTACATCGACCAGAGCCAGTCCATGAACATCCACATCGCTGAGCCAAACTACGGCAAACTGACCAGCATGCACTTCTACGGCTGGAAACAAGTGAGTGACACCTGCAGGACAAATCAGAAGAGAGGGAAACAAGAACGATAACGCTACTCGGTAGAGAGACCGGACAGTTCCTCAGACAAGTTTTTGTTAGTTGGTTTATTTGTGGAAATATAAGTATATTCATAAATTGATGAATGCTAAATATAAAAAATATCCCAGATATAGGCATGAATCCACATCTTCCTCCAAATCTACCTCTTTTTCAGGACCCATCCTTCCACCAAGTTTGTTCAAAATTAAATCAAGTTGCACCAAATGTCCATCACTGTTCCATAAATATGGCTGATGTTACAGCAAGTTGGGGGGGAATCCTGGATCTGGTCCATAAGTTAACGAGTTCTTTCTCAGCCCAAACCCCACCCTTCTATCAAGAATCAATAGAAGCAGTTCAGTAGTTTTCAGTGCAATTCTTCCAACGAACAAACGCATGAAAACAACCTCCTTGGCGGAACTCGTGAGAACAAACCACTGAACGCAGCACGTTAACCTCTCTCCTCCCTCCCACCACAGGGTCTGAAGACAGGGATGTACTACCTGAGGACGAAGCCTGCCGCCAACCCCATCCAGTTCACCCTGAACAAGGAGAAGCTGAAGGAGACACAGCCGGCCAGTGTCTCGGAGCAGGAGATCAGAGAGCGGAACACGGCAGCCATGGTTTGTTCTCTGGAGAACAAAGACGACTGCCTAATGTGTGGATCCTAAATGTTTCTCCTCTCTCCTCCTGTTGAAACTTGAGGTTGTTCCCCTGCTCTAACTTGATGCTGAATCTTTTGGGTGATGAACCTGATGTTTGTTCAGTGCTTCACTCACAAAGATTCATAAATACACAAAGCATTTTCTTGGTTTTCTTTTCTCTGGTTCACTGTGGGAGATGGTTTGAATGTATAGAATAAATTTTATGACGCGTCCCGTTAACCCACTGATGTCAATGGAAAACTGCAAGTACTTTACTCTATTTTATGTTGGAAATCAAATAACTTTGTAATAAAAAAAATGTAAGTTTCATATGTTTCCTTGTGTTTGTGTGCACCAGGGAAACAACTTTATTCAGATGTTGGGGGGAAACAAAAGCAGGTGGTGTCAAGCTGCTGATCTTTATCTTCATTTCACTAAATGATGTGATTCCACATTAACTAAATGTCAAACTCATCTGAAACAATGTGCTGTAATGAAGACCAAGTGGCAAATTTAGGTTAAGTTAATAAATGTTCAGCTGATAAACAGTTCAGACATTTATTAAGTCCACACCAAGTAACACCCTGGTTCCAACATCAAAATCAAAGGATTTGCTGTTTTGTTCTTTTTCTAACACAGAATAAACATCCTGGTGTTCTGAACTTTCGGTAAAAGAAATGTAAAGATTCTACATTGAGCTCTGCATGTTATGTGCATTTATACAAAAATGAATTGCATCCAGTTCATACCACTTATCTATCTAAAGAGAGGAAAGTCTTTTACACTCCATAGGATGAAAACCAACAAATGATCTGATCGTTATTTTTTTAATATATTTTTTATAAAATAATGAAAACATAATTTACACTTTTAAATGTACAAGTCATTATTACAACCCAAAGAAAACGATGAACAAACTTGGTCTGTGCGTCGTGTGCTGCTGCCACACTCGGGACGCACGAGAAGAAAAGACGTCAGAAAAAACCCCAGAAGAATCATACGAATCAACTTTGTACAGGAATCGGAAGTAAAACGTCAAAATAAAAACACACAGTACCCTCTCATCTTCACTCACACTGTCGTCTGGGACAGTGGCCAACGTGTTAAAAAATAAATTATCAAAATATTTAACATCTAAAAACAAATGTAGGTATACAATATTAACCATTAACCTTAATAATGCATCATTGATTTGTTCAACAGTTTGTGTTGTGTATGCTATAAATAGCTTAAAATTATACAGAACATGAACAAAATGTATATATATATGTATGTATAAAAAGAAACCTTGCCCCTTTTCCATAAGCAAAGTAAAGATTAAGACTAAACTCACAGGGACACCTGCGAAGCTGCGTGAGAAAGGAGGAACAGGAGTGTCAACGTCAAACCTGAAACTGTAATAAACAGGAGTTTTCTGAGGAGTGAACCACATCACTTAGATTGTTAATGACTAAATAATTATATATGAATGTTACTGGTATCAAAGGTACTTAGATGAAAACTCTTGACGAGCTGGTGACACTGAAGCAGTATCTTGTTTTTTCGTTTGTTTGCAGGATCATGCAAAAACTGAACAGATTTTTTTGTTATTTGGTGGCAGCTGGGCCAAAGAAACATTCATTATTCATTGAAGAGGATTTTTTTCATTATTTTAACATTGCGAGACCGAGTGTTTTTGATATTTTCTTGAATTTATCAGGAAATCAAAAAAATCTGGTTTATCCATGGGATTGATTTCTATGAGTGTGTGAAAAGTGATGCAGCTTGATTGAGTTTAAAGAGACAGTCGGCCTTTGCAGAGGTCGGCTTCTGTGAGAGAGACAGGAGAAAAACTAGCATGAGCCTCAATAGAGCTCACACCTCCTGTCCCCATTGTTTTCATCAATACTCACACGATTCTCAGAGAAATCAACAACAATGTTGAAAAAGGCCCCATGTCACAAGGTTAAAGAAAGAGAAAAATAAGTAATCCTGGGCCTGCCCCCTGATCTGGCTTCTTCCCTGACCCACGCCACAATCTTCCACCAAGTTTCGTAAACAGTAGTTTTTGTGTAATGCTGCTAACTCACAGACAAACATATAAAAACTTCCTCTGTGGACGTAATGACAGGTTTCTGTCGAGTTTACAGTCAACTTGCTCCCTTTAGTGTCAGTGAAAGAAAAGTATTGAGAATGAGTGGG